TATGGACATGCAATTTTTTTCTCAATAAGAACAAGTGTGAAGAAACCTGGACACTGACCCGGGATTTCCACCGCAACCGGAACAGCTCCAACCAGAACGGCTCTGATTTTCGCTGTACGCCAATTCCTACTGGATTTGTTTGTGTGGTGAATTTCACGTTGGATTACCGACGGCGGGAATCGCGAGAACTCACAAGAACCCGCGGATTCACGTGCAATCACGAGTTGTCTTTAGCCACATAGGCTAACCATATAAGCAGTAGATTGTGTCCTTCCAGAGGAGGGAATTTTATTTTGTGTCTGTGCCCGACTCTTGCTATCAGCTGTGGAGTCCGGCGATCCGCAGCGGAATGAAAAGAAGCCGGTGGAAATTGACACATCGACTTGAATGGTTACGATCAGCTAAGATCGGCGGATACTGCCTTTTCCTAGCCATTCCAGATGCGGTGGAAATTGCCTGTTAAGAGTCTTTTTCCTCCTTCAGACGTTGATATTCATGCTGTTTTCGCCTCTATTTTCGAGAAACGGCTCAAGAAATCTGATTTGTCCAATCAGGGCCATGTGTGTTTTGTCAGCCCTGGAATAAAAACGGACTTTACTGACTGCCGGGGGAGTTTTATAAAGGATACTGTGTTGCATAAGCTTCAGAAGTAAACAGTCAGACCACACACAAGGCCCGGCTCAAACCTCTAGTAATGACCTGACATGAGTCCTGGAGGCTCCTGTGATTTTCCCATCTGGATGCACCATTAGCTCAGCGGGGGATCTCTAATACTGTCATCAGATTTAATGGCTGATTTCCTCTCCTGTGTTCCTCCCCAGGTGTGGCCACCCTCCTCACAGCCTGATCCATCCACTATTCATGAGAGGAAACCGATGCCACCATAATGACCTCCCTCTACACAGACAAAGACACAGAGAGAGATAGAGAGGGGTCTGGTTTACAGGTTGAGCTGTGCAGTAAGAGCGAGCGAACCTTAAAGCGAGGGTTTAGAAGGAGGAAGCTGTGGTGTTACCAGCGTGTTGCTCTGGATCAAGCAGGAAAGTTTTCCAGGTTGACATAGAAAGCATTCGAGGCTGGATTAGTGGGGGTGGGTCGAAGAAGTGAAAACACCGGGGGCCGGAGAGAGAACAGACAAGGACTTGTTTTCGCTGGGTGTGACTGTTTAGAAAACACTCTGACCTCCTCTGCTTCGCTATTCTTACCTGATAAGCTGAAGGTCAAGAGTGAAAAGTGAAGACTGTGTAGAGACCCAAAGAAGTGATTTTCTGTGTCTTATATTGAGCAAGAGTGAGAAGTGGCAGAGTTCTTTTCATTTAGTCATATTTTACATTTTACATTTGATCATCTAATTCAAATCGTAGTTCAAGTTTATATGCCAGCTGACATTTATGATAAGAAATCCAAAGTAGAAGTGTAAAAACTGCAGTTCCCAAAGTGTCCACTTGAGGCTTTCTCCAGAACTTAAGGTAACAAGATTTCTGAGAAACATGCAAAGAAAACTTTAATTCCAATCAATTTATACCCCAACAAGTCTTGCCAGCATAATTTAACGATCCCAGGATCGTATCTAGACTGGCCAATCAGATTTCAAGAAAGGGCCCGTACCACCCCTGTCTACCTATCTAAACACGCCCCTGCACCTGAGCGCTTCAGCCGACAGCAGCCTCATTGCGTCCCTTTTTTTTTCTCCTCCTAAATCCAAAATATGAGTCCTCACATCATGTTTTTCAAGGCCGAAATAAGACAAACCCAAATGTTATAACACCTCTGCCAAACCACAGGACATAAATTACAGACTCTGTGAGACTTTTCCTTTCCTGTTTGGGTTTCTTTTCATCCTCAAACTACACAGTTTAACGGCTAAGTGGCAACTAAATCTTCAGGAAAAGGAAGAATTCCTTAAAACCTTGTCAGTTCAAGCCAAAATCTAATTAAATAGTTCTTATTTATCGTGCTTTGATTTTCACAAGTATTACAGCCTTCACTTCAATGTCACTGTGCTCTAAGTGGAGTGGACAGCATGCTTGCTCTCTCAGACATTTCCACTATGCTGTAATTCACAACACGCTCCCATGAGCCACAAGGCAGGAGTATAAATAGGCCCCTCTAACATTTCCCTCACGTTCAGGGGCCAACAGGGGAGATCGTCTGAGAGGAGTTTCTCCGGCAGACACTAGCCACTCAACCCAGGGGACGTATTTCATCCGAGAGCTGGATTTTCATGCTTTTTTCAGGGGTGTATTTATAGCTGCTGAGGTCAGGGAGGCAGAGGCATATGGGGTGGCCTTTCTTTAACCATGTTATGTGATGCTGAGGCTGCAGGGGTGGAGCGCTGGCATGACAGTCTATTCCAGATCTGAAGCTCCGTGTTTATGACAATAGCAGTCTGACCACAAACTGTTGAACTGTTCAATAAAAATTCACGACATGCACAGGATGAGAATTAGTGTTTGAATTAAGAAATATTTAACATTATTCAAGGATGGCTAGAAATGTTCAGATTACAGCATCTGCAGAGCTAATGCAACTCTGTAGGGTGTGTACAATGTGTCTTCTCAGCCTGGCAGGTTATAGAGTTAGCTAATATGGATTTATTGATGCAAAGTGGTATACTCGGGGTGCTTGGAAGACAACTGAAAGAGTATCTGTCATGAAAACTTTAAAATATAGTTTTAAGGATACAAATCTTGCATAACGATCAGTCATGTACTCAGGGAATGATATCGTAAAGTGAATTTATCACACTCTGTACAGTAATAGAGACACCAAGAGCATTTTTATTCACTAAAAGAGCAATAAGAGGGCACTTTGTAAACAATACAATCACGAAAGAAACAACCAAAAAGCACAGAGTTTACATGTTTTTGACTAAGAGAGCAACCAGAGGTGCATCCATTTACATTTTGTTCACTATTGGACAATTGGAGGGCATGTTGTTTGCATTTTATTCACATCAGAAAAAACAAGGAACCTTTGTTACTTAAAGAGCAACTAGAGGGCACCTTATTTACATTTTGTTAACTTAAGAAAAACTAAGGGGCACTTTGTTTATGTTTAAATTTTATCTGCTAAGGTAAAAGCCAAAGAGCTCTTTGTTTGCATTTGAGTTACTCAAGAAACAAAAAGAGGGCACTTTGTTAACAGTTTTCCACAAAACGAGCAGCAATATGGCACTGTATTTACATTTTGTTCTCCTAAAAACAAAAACAGGGCACTTAATTTACATATTACCACATATAGAGCAACCACGGGGCACTTTGTTTACATATTACCACTCATAGAGCAACCACGCTTGTAAGATCTTACAGAAAAATCGTGCACTCTACTATGTTCTCCCTTTTGATATTGCACATCCACAGAATTGTATATTGTTTGGTAAAATCCACTCTGTAGAAACCCATCAGCTGAGTAACTCCTGGCTACCGCTTGGCTTGTAGTGGAAACCAGGCTATCATCTGTCCAGCCCAACCCCTCTAGGTCAGATCAGTGTAAAGGATCCTCATGCAGAGTGGTAGGTAACACAACACAGATTATTATTCTGTGCTACAGGGGTTTGTGTGGACTCTTCCTGTGGCATTAATCATTGAACAGGTGAGTGTAATCCATACAGACGCTAGCTTCTCAGAGTTAAAGGGAGCTATCTGATGCTGCCTCTGCTTTGAAGTATGAGCTCAGATTGCCTGGCATTTAGCGAGAATTCGAACTGAAAATATAAAAGGTGATTTTCTAATGTTTGCAACAAAAATAATAATTTTTTTGTCATTTTTTAAGTAACAAAACTCAAATCTGTTTCAGAGTAAATGATAGGAAAAGATTATAATATAGGGCTCTCAGTCCAGAGCGGTTATATGAAAATATTAAGATTACCTTCACAGGTATAAAGTGCAAAAGATTTGTAAGGTGTTTTAAATAAAAAGGTCAGTTTAAAGCACAAACTAAAGAAATATGTGACCTTTCATGCTATCATTAAAATCTTTTCCAAATTAAAGTGACATTTACTTTAAAAACCACCTGCACAGCATGCATCTAAAAATCCCAGTGGGTGTCTTGGTAACCTATGGCAACTGCTTCTGTGTCAACAGCAATCTTGGACAGGCCGGCTCCTGCAGCGAGCTCAGCCATTGGCTGGCTGAATGAATGACTTGCAAACTTGCAAATGCATTATGCATGTCAGTTCACCTTTAGAGCGTTCTTGAACTCATTTCCAGGTAAGCACAGCGGAGAGGTTACCTGCCTGCACTGAAGGAAACTTCTGCACCTGTTGGTAAGACATTTATTTTTTCTTATTTGATGCTTCTTTTAATCCTGTTTGTGCACAGATGAGCATTAAACTCTCTGAAGCCATGTAAATGTTAAAAATGAAGGGTTTTAAGTCAAATACAGTCACCTCAGTGAAAAACATCATAAAAGCTTTAAAATTATTGTTTATTTCAAGGCACAGTAGGGAGTTTTTGACTGATTTTGGTGCTTCTTATCTTGTACACAGTACAATAAGATAATAGTGATAAAAATGTAGTTTCTTTGGACTGATTTTCTAATATTAAGCACTCACCTGAGGGTGGTTATGTTTAAAACTTAGCTAGTAAAATCTGTCAGAGAGAAGTAAGTTAGGAAGCAAACATGTTTTCTGATTTGTACGGTTTTACTTGCAAGTATTTTTTTTTGTCTGATACTACTGACATCAACAGCGAAACTGCACATCAATAAATTCACGATATTTCTTGGGATGCTGGATTTAGCTGCATTATGCTCTGTGCTAAATCAGCTCTCCAGCTTGAAACATGCTCAGACCTGCCGGTGCTGATGACCAGACATGACCTCTGTAGACTAGAACTGAGCCAAATAGATCTGTCCAACAGGTTGATCCTTTGTCAGTGAAAAAATATAGACATATAAAATATAATAAACATATAAACATACATATAAAAATATAGACAAGTGGTTGGTTATATACTGTTGTATGTACTAAAGCAGGGGCGCCCTGACCAAAGTCAAAGATGGAGCTTATGGGATCTACCTTGACGGCGACCTACGCCCGACCAAAAACCAGCCACTTCCTCCCAGCCATCTCCACCATGGCGTCCAGTTATCGCAACACCCAGCCCGCTTTAGCCATGAACCCCAGTGCCAACATGTGGAGGATCAACAGCTACTTCAAGGGCAGCAACACAATCCCAACTCCACCTTCCACCGCCCAGAGAGAGAATTTAGACCTGGTTCGAGCCAAGACCATGTTCTACCCATCCAACAGGACAGCGCTGTCGACCCGCTACACTCCTGATGACTGGTACAGGTCCAACCAGAGCAACTACAGGGACTCCGAGTCGTCCCGGAAAAGTGCAGAAAGGCTGCGGAGGGACACCATCAGGCTGATGCAGGATAGAGAGCAGCTGACCAGACGGACTCAGGAGAACACCAGCAAGAACATCGGAGAGAGGCTGACTGACATCATCTTCTGGAAGTCTGAGCTGAGCCACGAAATTGACAACATGGTGACGGAGATAGCAGCCCTCACCGAGGTCAAGAGGAGGCTGGAGAGGGCTTTGGCAGAGACTGAAGGTCCCCTTCAGGTGAGGAAAAGGAAATATATTCTGATTAGCATGAAAGCTTAAGTTTCTCGTCTCTTGACAGCCATATAAGACTTTTTTGTTTGTGCAATCGCAGTATCAACCACGCATATCTTGTCTCCAGGAGCATCGGTATCTGGGGTGAAACAGTTTTGACTCAGGCTTAGTTTGGTTGTAGCAACAGTATCTGTCCGTTCTTAGGTCACGCAAGTGTCTTGTTAAAGTGTCACTGATCATTTGTGTGGGTCAACCTGATCTGGCTCGAGATCTGATAACACTGACTCCTTGTTGGGCTAAGATCATGTGGCAGAAGGCTTTCTCTGGGACTTCGCCACGTAACTGAAACGGGAGAGCGTGGCTGAAACGCTGCATTGGTTATATAGAGTCAAAGAAGGGTGATCTGGGTGTCTTTGTCGTTTCAACTGAACTGTTAGTTCTAGTCTTGATTATATGAAGACGAGGGGCTGGGCATGAAATTGTAAAATCTTGAGGTTTGGCTGATTGAACTCTCAGGTTTGGGCACTGTAGCAAGGAGTTAGTAACTCATCAAAAGTTAGGAAGATCAGCATTTCCAACATGGCTAATGGGTGACATCACTGGAACATGTTTTACACAGTTCATGTAAGTTTGGTTGATTCCTGACCATGTCAAGACCTAATTCTGGTGACCTTAGCAATCCTTGAAATAGACTTGTCTTGATTATTCTGTCAACAGGTGTCTCAAGAGTGTTTGTACCACAGAGAGAAGAGGATGTCCATCGATCTGGTTCATGACGACGTAGAAAAGGACCTCATAAAGGTAACACGAACCCAGCACTTACAAATGTGACTTGAAGAGGAAAAGAAATAAGCAGACTGTATCTTTACCTTTGATTTAACAAGGAAGTGGAAGTCATCAAGTCATGTCAAGAAAGAATGAGGCGACACTTGGACAGAGCCATCGCTCAGCTGGCGTGAGTCAGAGGAATTCGTCACGATTACCTCCAGAACCTTGAACGTTAATCTCCATCTGATTTGACATATCTCTACTGGTTCCCTCAGATCAAACCGGGCCGCCCAGCATGAACTGGAAAGAGACATAAGTGACAAAGTGACGGCTCAGAGGATCGACGACAGGTGTCACCATCTCAGGAACACATCGGACGGTATCGGCTACTACAGAGGCATCGAAAGGCTGGACCCTTCGTAAGTCACCATACAATACAGCTGCTAAAAGTCTCTCCAGTTTGATTGAACTCTCCTGCAATATGAGTCTGGAAAGGAAAAAAAAACCTCAATTTTAGCCAGTGTCGTTGTCAAATCACCAAACCACCGTTGCTATTCATCTCTCCATCAGACTCTCCCTGCCGGACTCGTGGTCCAAGTTCACCGACGACAACATCCTGCACTCTCAGAGCGAGCGAGCCACCTCCCACAAACTCAGGGACGAGATAGAGATCCTGATGAACACCACGTCCAACGAGATGTGGAGCCGGTTCAACAACGTCAACGTCGCCTTCACAAACCGCATATCAGAGACCGCTGACGCCAAGAACAGCCTGCAGACGCACCTGGCCAAGGTCAACACCTTCGCCGCACACTCTTGTTTCATACAAACATTTGCAGTATTGTTGAGTTCATGTGACAAGAGCGTTAAGTCTTGTTTGGTTGATTTGTACCTAATTTTGGCGTCATTGATTGGAGTCTGTCTTGGCTCCATTATGAGATAAGTCCAATAGTTGGATGAAAATGAGGGCGAAAATGGAAAAACCAATTGGACAATGTCATGGAAAAAGACAAAATCCTTTCATTCTCTTCTATTACCCAACAGAAAGGACCAGTTTGCACCACTTGTGCATTTTTTAAGCAATACCAAGGACAAAATTTTCTACACATAAGTGCAGTACCGGAAACGTAAAATTAGATACATCCACACTGTCTTCTACAGGGTCTTTGAGTTGTAAAACAATCCTGTCATGATGAAAGAATAGTAACAGATTCCTGTTTTTGCTTGTGCCATATCTACACTGGACTCCATTGTAGTTGGGTTACCCTCTGAGTCCACATCAGCTGTTGTATGGGTTTGAATTCTAACAGCAGCTGTGATAAGATGCACACTGTCCTTAATAAACCACAGGCGCTGTCCATTTAAAGGAGTCGTGATTCACAGGAATTAGATTACATCAAATGAGTTTGCACAGAGCAGGCTACTGTGCCGCGCTCGTTCAGCTGATTCCAGGACTTAAATGTGCAGCTTTTCCACTAATGTTTTTCCCATTCTAGTAACCATCTCTCATGCTTGAGACACAGAGGGTTTACTATACAGACCCAAAAGTGAACAGCTTTTGTCATATCCGTCTCAGACCCTTCAAGAGATCTACCAGACAGAGATGCTGATTGAGACTCTGAAGAAGGCCCTCAGAGATAAGGAGTGTCCGCTGAAAGTGGCCCAGACCAGGCTGGAGGAGAGGACCCGCAGGCCAAATGTGGAGCTCTGCAGAGACAACCCACACCACAGGTAGAGCAGCTCTTCACATGTATTTTTATAAATGAAGCAGCAATACGTAAATGCTAAAATTTGTCCCTGTTTGTGTTCAGACTCGTGAGTGAGGTGAGAGAGATCGAGGACACCATCCTGAAGCTCCAGGAGCGGCTGATGGAGGCCGAGAACACTCTGCACACTCTGGTGAAGACCAAAGTGACCCTGGAGCATGACCTGTCCATCAAGGCTAACTCACTCTTCCTGGATCAAGAGAAGTGCATGAGCATGCGCAAGAGCTTTCCCAGCATGCCTCGCCTGGTGGGCTACACATAAATGTCACGGGAAATGAACTTTTATGGGACCGAAATGAAAAATTAAGACTAAATTAATGATTTTAGGAGTGATCTGAAGGATGTGTTTACCTTTATTTGTATGTGGTATGTATTTGCAGCATGTTTAAAAATAAAATATAATTTAAAACGTTTTGATTTGATCAGTGAAAAATCTGGCATGGCAATAATCGGACTTTGCAGAAAATATGTCATCCATTTTCACTATTGTGCAAAATTGATCAAATGTTGTGTTTTGAGATTTGAACCAGATCAGTGTTGATTTGGTAAAAGTTTCTTCTTAACCTATATTGAAGATCAGATACAGACATGATCACGTGTTTCTGAGGGTCGGACGGTCCTGTCTGCTCAAAGTCACCTGACGTTCACCTCCGATTTTAAAATCCCCTGATGCAGATTCCTGGATGTCTAGATCTTTTTTTACTCTCATCTGATTAAGCCCAAACTTATTTGTCACAGTAGCTTTATTTACACGTGCTGTCCCTTTAAATCCAGTTATTATTCCAACTCTGCTGTTTTCAAGGAACTGATCAGATTAAGATGTGCGTGTGTGAACATGAATTTAATCTGAATAAAAACATTTTTTAGGTAAAGAGTTGTTCGTGTTGAAGAAAACAAACTCATTTCATCTGTTTCTATTGCTGACAAACTGCAAAAAAAAAAAAAGATAAGCAAACTGTAAAACTGTGAGTTCATTGTTATGATTTTTTCTGCTGGTTGCCACACCACGAAAGACAAGGGAGGGGAAAAAAGGAGCAGCAGCTATTAAATAAGCTTGCAGCAGCTTTTATGAACTCTCAGAGATGATTGAAAACTCTGACTAAGACCCACAGTGAAGCCAAAAAAAAAAAAAACTGCACTACAGCTTATGTCACTTTGGGTCACGAATGAAAATGAAAAATCAATTAAAAATAAATGCATAGGTTCTAACTGTTCTTTTTAATTTTTTTTCATTCAAATCCAAAATATGAGATCTGCAGGAAGTGGGTCATACTTCAAAATAAAAGCATAATGCAAGACAGAAAAAAATATCAAAATAAAAGCATGAAAAATTAGCTTTTTAAGGGGTAATATCTCCTTCAGTTTCAGCAACAAGGGTGCTAATGTGGATCAATCACTAATCTGAATATCATTAGAAATTAACAATAACATGTAAGTTAATTCCAGTCATTGGTGATTCATGTGGTGGTTTATGAAGTGATGTTTCTTGATTGATTTTGAATATCACAATATTGTAATCAATATATGTTATGGCCATTAAAACTGTTTCTACATACTGGTTTGACAATGATTGTATTAACAAATGAAATATTGATATTCTGCTAAAATAATATAAGTAAAAGTAAATATCAAACAGCATAAGTCACACACCTGACCCATTTTCCCAAAGGGCCGTACTGAGTATTTCTAATCTGATCCGGCTGTTAATCAAACTACAAGTGCTCCAAATGAATCTCTATCAGCCAATCACAGCTGTCATCATGGCAGAGTACAGTACAATTAGCCCCCATTTTTAACGAATATGAAATCATAGAAATCATAGAAATCCTTTTTTTTCTCCCTCAGACTGTTTTATTCCAGGATATCTGTTCACTAAAAGGACACTGTGTCTGGAGACTGTGTCTCTGAGCAGAGGATGAACATGGAAACAATCCGAGGGTTACACTCAGATTTACTCAGGCTGTTCTGATTGAATTTTCTGGTAATACAATCAACTAAAAATTCATCTTAATTCAAGAAAACTGGATTCATGAGACTCTGTATGTTCTACTTTCTGCAGATGCTCCAGTTTTAACACAGGGGTGTTGCCTAGCTGGAGAACAGAAGAGTCTAAAACTTCCTCTGTGATAATTAACATCATTCAAATGCTCTTTCGACTAAAGTCTAGTATGATGATTGTGATCTGCTGCATCTTTTAACGTTTGAGTTTGTCATTGTTGCTGATTTATGAGATGATTTAAAGTAGACAAACATCAGAATTAAGTATTTTCGTGTTTGGGGAACTGCCAGCCTCTGGATCGATTGCTCCATTCTTCATGTAGAAAAATGGATTGTGAAGGAATTTTTGTGGCCCATCACTCATCACCTCACCCACAGGAGGAGCTGGGTAAACAACTTCTTAGTTACATATAAAGTCCTCCCACCCATCAAATAGTTGAAGAAAGCGTCACATCTACCTCTTTACATCTACCCCTCTGTTTAATGCTGCTGGTATATCAAGAGTTAAATCTTGATCCGGCGTAAAAACTCAGAATCTGAGCCAACACAAAAACACAAACACACTCCTTCACACACATCTCTATACTACTGCACCGCCTGTACGACCTTTGGCTGCACTGAGGAATGTAAACATTTGCTTAAATCACCAATACAGTTTCAGTTTAACCTCGTCGCTACAGTAGTCGCCGTGTCTCCATCCGCTGAAGTGATCACGGTTATCAGACCGAAGTGACTTTAAATCATGGCCTGGTTCTTGAATTTTCTGTGTTTTAGCTAAAATCTGTTTCAGATTTCAGTCTTTTTTGTTTTACTGAAGAGAGTTCATGTGTGAATACGTCTCTGATGACAAACTTTAGTAAAAATAATGGATGGTACAGAGAGTCTGACCCATTTATCAGACCAGTTCTGTTGGCAGTCTGTGGGACAAATGAGAAGCTTTTATGACTCTAATCTCTTCTTCAAACTTTTAATAGAAATTGAAACTTTTTTTAACAGAAAAGTATAATATATTGAGACATTTTTTAAATTCATCTGACACCGTAAAGAGCTAAAATTAGTTTTTTTTTTTTTCTTAAAGTGAGGCGGTTAAAGCTCCTGTAAGGAAACTTCTTGATAGTGTTGATTTTGGCGCCCCCACTGGACTCCGGTCTGCCATGTTGGATATACCGGTGAATCTGACATTGCAACAACACGCTATACTGATTGTTCAGAAGTGGACACACAGTATGCGAACCGTGATACGAAAAAATAAATGCTACAATATAGCAGGATGGGAAAACGTCGCTGATGTGAACGCTTGTATTGACAGGATACGGGTTTGAAAAAAAATACTGATGTCTGAAATAATCGCACAACAACAACAGTCCCGGTGTGAAAGGACCTAAGCCCGAAGTTTACAATAACCATCTTAGTAATGATTACAGAGGGTTTAAAAACCAATTAACCATTTACAAAGTGCTACTGACACACATTTTAATCTAGATGTTTTACAACCAATATTTAAACCCTATATAAACCTTTAATAAATAGTCCATTAATAATTAATGAAAATTATTAATCATATTAACTTACATTGATAAACAATCTATTTACCATTTATAAATAATGGTTATTGTAAAGTGTTACCGTATAATCCTGTGTGCAGGTTTGTCGTCCGGTTATGAAATCTAGTAAACCGCCCTGGTGGCTCCACTTCTCAAGTAAAAACATGAAAACATCTCTTTTGTAAATACAAAGTAGTTTCACTGTAAAGATAGCTAACGGAGGGGAGGGACCGGTCATAAAGATAAACTGTAGTGTGTGTGTGTGTGTGTGTGTGTGTGTGACTTGCACTTTGATTTCAGTGTAATGTTTTACAGCTGTATTGTGACTTACAGCCACCGTGAGTTGGAGAGTCCTCTCTGCTCTGCAAACAGCTCAGTGTTTGACTAAAACCAGCAGGAGTAAGTCAATGGCAGGCGTTTCCACCACGGTTTCCTACATGTAGCGTGTTTGTGTATGTGTGGGCCCTCTCGTAGGACCCACTCCTTGGCCCCGGCTACATTCCTGAGCTGTAGCATTGCAGAGAAAGGCCTCCTGTTGTCTGGGCTGACATCAAAAGACCCCCTGCTCTCATCGCTTTGTAATTAAACATCATGACGGATAGTTACGATCCTTTCCCCTCTGCTTTCCCCTTCAAACGTTTTTTAGCAAATAAAAAGTGAGATAATGTCAGACTTACAAAAACGCTAATAGCAGCAGTCGGGTAATGGTCTGTGAGACGGATACCCAGACTGTTTTTCACCCCTGAGCTTAACATCAGCTTGGATTAAACCTACTGAAAATCTGGACCCCCTTTTTGCTGTCTCTCCTGCTATGTTGGAGTTGAAGGTTCCCCCCCTGGATGGGACACAAATAGGCCCTCCTCTTTGACCTCCGCTAACACCCCCGCATATGGGGAATGTACTCTGGAATTCTCCCTGCAGTCCAAACATATTGGCGGTTTATTTTTAACAGCAGGTCTTGTTATAGATGCCCGTTACCCCGTGTTATTTTATGTTTCGAACATACCATCATGCCATACTAAAGAGCTGATGCTGGATCACTTGAGGCTGGTATCAGTCTCTGACGGTTTTTTGCACTGTGCTGTAATTACAGACTCGGGCTGATGGATGGATGGAAAGTATTTGTTTTATTCAAAGAGGGCATGATAACTCTGATGCAGGAACATCTTTTTATTTCAAGTGTTTCTTGGTGGATAAAGAAATGCTAATCAGTTTTTTCTTAATTGAGTTAATGTTGATTTAATTAAACTCTTGGACACTGAGAGGAAGACCATCAAAAGCAAAGCCTTGGTTTATTTGAGTACCTTTAAGCAATAATTGTCAGTGTTTTAGCATTTACAGCAGAAGAAAGTGACCACTGTACCAAATGTGTGTTTCTAGTCAAGTATTTTTGCACCTTTTTGGTCTCCACCAGCCTGTTAGAGAAATCTGGGTCAGTATTTTGCTAGCAGATGTCTACTTCAACATCTTTAAAAACAGTTATCCACAAACAGGATAACTTTTTAGTGCCCCTGAGGACAGGAGTCCCAAACTTTAACCAGCTCATCTACAATTAATGACACTTAGAAGTACAATGATTAAAAGTCAGTGGAGCGGTCTATTGGCTATTAAGGCCTTGTCCAGATGAAAACGCAAACAATATATTGCTGTTTAATTTCAGAAAAGTTTCCCGTAAAGACGTACCGTTTCAGCAAATATCCATGTCAACAAGAAACCCCTG